GGCGATGCGCTCTTTTTTTTAGCGCTCGTTCTGTGACAATCGGGACGATGCTCTTTTAAGGGGAGGCAAATGCCCCGCCAACACAGTCTCGTGAAAAGGGACACTGAAGAAGATAACGTGCTTTTGTTTTGCTCTCTTGCTCTTGGCTCCTGCATAAAAACACACGCCGCCGGTTCTCGGACCGCGACAATATGTAGGTTTGTGGTAGCGACGTCGCAGAGTGTTAGCTGCATCCAGTTGTCCCAGCTAAAAGCGCGCCACTGCCCTCGATGGTCACATGACAACTGGTGCAGCAGCTGCAAAAGATGCCTCCTAGCACATGTCGGGGTGCTTCCCACATGTTTGCAAGAGGCGGCCGCAACAAAGGAAGTTGCAGTGGCTATAAGAGATGCTCTGAAACTAGCATACAAGCCATGTTGACGTGTAGCTCTAGCTTTGAGAACCTCATCTAAACATGAAGTATCTTAACGGCGAGAATGTGGCTCATTTTCAAAATGCCATCACTGTTTTGGCTATCTACGTCACACGTGAACATTTTAATTTGCTATTTAATGACCTAGTTCGATCAGCAAGAAGCTCTGGGGTACGATGCATAAATGGTGCAAAAACACATAGCCACGAATCGTTACGGTAAATCCTCGTATATATAATAAATGTACTGAAGAAGTCATTCGTGCTAACGACAAGCGCGATTTTGGCAGCATTCATCTTCAATACTCTTGGGATAATGCTTCAACTACATACTGTCAACAATGCAGTCACGCACCTGTGAGGTCTTCAGCTCAATTCATATGCTCAAGAAGAGGCAGTGAAATGCATACAGACCATCAACATACTCGGCAAGTTTCTCGGGTGTCGTTTTTCTGTTAATTCTGACAGACATAAAAATCTCGTGAAGCGCACTGCGAACAGAACAGCGCTTCCTGCTACATTTGTCTCAGGTGTGTCATTGCAGTCTCATATAGTCAGGAAAAACATAGTCTAAGTAATCTTTTCGTTCAGTGCTGCTTTAATTAACCATGCGCACGCAGAAACAAACACATGCTCAATTACCAAGTGAAACCTTTAGTTCATGCGAGTATAACAAAATCCTTCTGATGCGTCTAAGACTTCTGCACCTATATCAACAATGGCAACTGTGAATAATTCTTTGCATATGCCTATGCTATCCACAACATTATTGTGCTTTGAGGTAAACGTTCTTGAAATGTCTCCACACAAGGCTTATTAAAAAAAATGTGGTGTGGCACATTATAATCACAAAGGCTTGACAGACGTAATAGTTTTTGCTGGGTAAGCCACTCCAAAACATAACCAATGAACCAGCGGCGAAGACAAGCTCACGCGTTTTACAGCTGTGGCTAATCGAGAAAACTGTAGGGAGGAGGGGGGGACCTATCTCAACTTTCTTGTGCCTTCCTGCACAAATAACCATGACAGCTCATCAGTACATGTTTTTTTTTTTTTTCATGACAAACAACATGCGCTCTAGCGAAAACACAGCAGGAACTGCGGTAGGTATGGCGGCTTTTGTCTACCACGCGAAACTGAATGCCCGATGACAGCGCTACTGCATTTTTGTGACATAAATTATGTCCAGTGGAATTCATCTATACACTTATTCATTCATCTTGAATATTTTAATATTTTCAAATATATAAATCTCAATCGAATCGTTGGAATATTCACAGAAGCCTATTCTTTACATTTCTATTTTTGCAATAAGAACACCCTGCTAGCTTTTATGACCTCTGTTCTCTCCCATGTTGAGCAGCACCACCTATGTCCGCCACGAGATTTTTAGTATCTCTCAAGTACAAACAGAGTTTAAAAGATTTGTTGTGCGCTTTACTTTCTTTCTTCTCTCATCCCGACAAGTGTGCTAAAAGCTGTGGGTGTGCAGTCAGCCCCTGTAAGGTCATTTGCATTTCGTGGCACACACGTGTCTCGCAGATAAGCCACACTAAGGTTTGAGAGCCTGCCAAGCAGGAGATGTTGCTGTGCTCGTGCGGGTGAGGCATAGGAAACGGGGAGGCTAGGCTGGCGCACAGAAAACAGTGGAGAGTCTCTTTGTGATTTGGCGGCTAGCTTGGATGGACGTCTAGCTGATGACGGCTAGCTTGGATGGCAACCACAGGTTGCCATCTCCCGAGGAGCATTCTCGGGGGATGGCAACCACAGGTTGCTTCACCTGGATTCCTCCTTGTGAGTCAACTGTCACAGCCTCGCATTCACGGTACCTTGTTGTTATGTCATTTGTGTGTTGTATTGGGATATCGTTCAAGGTTCTTCTGGGTGTCACGAGTGACTTTTTTATTCGACTGGCAAGATAGTCATTAAAGCAGGTGAATGAATGTACGCGTGTTTGTTTGGTTTGCATGACCACGTGACTGTGCCTATTCGTTTCGAGAGTGCCATTCATATTGATATCGAACAAAGCTAAGCTGGGGGGAATAGTAAGGGGGAAAAAAGCAATGTCATGGAGATCATGACCTACAGCGCTTTCTTTTTTGTTTCATTGAACGCCCGCCTTACCCTTAATGCGATAGCGAGCACGCACGCCAGTAAGTGGTAATGTCTCGTGGCAGCTGCAGTAACTTGGCGGCTGCTCAGCCAATCACTATGAATTTGTGTATGTGTCATCATTTGTAGAAGCTGACTTCCATAAATAATTATAAATTCCAGGCCGCATGCTGCGTTTTAATGTTTGGCCCGCATGTTTTATGGAGCTTTGACTACTTGATCGGCTATTTTAAGACAATGTTGTAAGGAAAGACAAGTTCAAAGCTGCTAAATAGCTGACAAAGTTGATTTCATCTTAAAATACTGTGTTGCCTGCCGTTCTATCGTGCAAGAGCTTTGCTACTACCTGAATAAGCGAATTGTTTGACTCATATTATTTATTCTGATTATTTAAGACTATGTGGTAAGAATATTGGCCCTATATTTACTCTAATCTATTTAGCAGCTGTAGAGTGTTTAGTTTGCGTGTTTTCTGGCCCTATTAATCATTTCATGTACCTGTATGCCTTATAGCCCCCCCCCCCTATGTAATACTCTCCTGTGAAAGGGCCCTAGGGGTATTCTGAATAAATAAATGAATAAATAAATAAACAGGTTGCTCATTGTTAAGTATACTTATGCATCTGTACTTGGATCAAATATCAGTTATGTCCTCGTTATCTACCTTATTCCCTTTGCCGTGTTGCTGCGAATTTCAAGATTCACAGATCAGCATTAATGCACCATGAGGTTTCCTTTAAATCATGAGTAAGTGAAATAAATTAATTGAGGGCTTCTGGTGGCTGTTGTTAGACACAACCGTATAGAGAGAAAAAAAGTGTAGGGTGGTGTTAATTTGTAGAATTTTAATTCAAGTGTCACTAATAATGAAGTGAAAGGAAATGAAAGTCAAAGAACAAACAACTTGCCACCAGTAAATATGAGCCCACAGTCTTAGCGCTAGGTGTGCAGTGCCACGGCCATTATATAAAAAACAAGGTGCAGCATACTGCGACGCGTTGCCGTCAGTGGATGAGTGTGTTTGAATAGAGTTGACAGTTTTGATCGCTTTTTTGGGGAGGGCGCTGACACTCCACCCGTCGAAGCGGATGGCACTTCATGTTTCAATGTGGTTGCGTGAGGATTTGTGTGTGTCCGTGTGCTTTTTCATGTGCTTTCTCGTGCTTATCTTAACGGCGAGAATGTGGCTCATTTTCAAAATGCCATCACTGTTTTGGCTATCTACGTCACACGTGAACATTTTAATTTGCTATTTAATGACCTAGTTCGATCAGCAAGAAGCTCTGGGTACGATGCATAAATGGTGCAAAAACACATAGCCACGAATCGTTACGGTAAATCCTCGTATATATAATAAATGTACTGAAGAAGTCATTCGTGCTAACGACAAGCGCGATTTTGGCAGCATTCATCTTCAATACTCTTGGGATAATGCTTCAACTACATACTGTCAACAATGCAGTCACGCACCTGTGAGGTCTTCAGCTCAATTCATATGCTCAAGAAGAGGCAGTGAAATGCATACAGACCATCAACATACTCGGCAAGTTCTCGGGTGTCGTTTTTCTGTTAATTCTGACAGACATAAAAATCTCGTGAAGCGCACTGCGAACAGAACAGCGCTTCCTGATACATTTGTCTCAGGTGTGTCATTGCAGTCTCATATAGTCAGGAAAAACATAGTCTAAGTAATCTTTTCGTTCAGTGCTGCTTTAATTAACCATGCGCACGCAGAAACAAACACATGCTCAATTACCAAGTGAAACCTTTAGTTCATGCGAGTATAACAAAATCCTTCTGATGCGTCTAAGACTTCTGCACCTATATCAACAATGGCAACTGTGAATAATTCTTTGCATATGCCTATGCTATCCACAACATTATTGTGCTTTGAGGTAAACGTTCTTGAAATGTCTCCACACAAGGCTTATTAAAAAAAATGTGGTGTGGCACATTATAATCACAAAGGCTTGACAGACGTAATAGTTTTTGCTGGGTAAGCCACTCCAAAACATAACCAATGAACCAGCGGCGAAGACAAGCTCACGCGTTTTACAGCTGTGGCTAATCGAGAAAACTGTAGGGAGGAGGGGGGGACCTATCTCAACTTTCTTGTGCCTTCCTGCACAAATAACCATGACAGCTCATCAGTACATGTTTTTTTTTTTTTTCATGACAAACAACATGCGCTCTAGCGAAAACACAGCAGGAACTGCGGTAGGTATGGCGGCTTTTGTCTACCACGCGAAACTGAATGCCCGATGACAGCGCTACTGCATTTTTGTGACATAAATTATGTCCAGTGGAATTCATCTATACACTTATTCATTCATCTTGAATATTTTAATATTTTCAAATATATAAATCTCAATCGAATCGTTGGAATATTCACAGAAGCCTATTCTTTACATTTCTATTTTTGCATTAAGAACACCCTGCTAGCTTTTATGACCTCTGTTCTCTCCCATGTTGAGCAGCACCACCTATGTCGAGGAGACAGTGGCGCCCCCCCTCAGCACCCCAGGGCACATCTGGGACCAACGGCAGCCTAAAGCGCCTGCAAGGTGTCGAGCTGGCTGCAGAGGTGGCGCATGTCGTGAGGCCGCTTGCACACTGTATCCTTTCTCAGAAAGCATCAAATCACCCTGCCAAACGTTTCCTTCACGGACGTGCGCAATGAAACAAGAAAACAAGCATCAAAAGGGGCCCAGGGCATACCTTTACCCTCTACACATGCGACACCCATCCAGCACAGATGAGGAGAAATCGAGACATCAAAACAGAGCCTCTTTTAGCGGCGACCGTTTTCACAAACGAACCGGTGAGGCGAAGCCCTTTCCCCTGGCTGCCGCCCTGGTACATGCTACGTGCAGTACAATTACTTGGAATGTTCGCAAAACCGGTAAGGATCCAAACTAGAGGTGTCGAAGGGTAGGACGGGTGGTGAGCACCAGCCAAGAAGTTGTGATATTCGGGCGGTTTGAGTTAGTCGTGTAGTGCAGTCGCCATATGTTAAAGAATCGAGTTATGACAGAGTGCTTAACAGCACAAGCGACAGGAGGGGATAGGAGAGACGAGACAGAGCGCTGTCTATGTTATGATGCCGCTGGCATCATAACATAGACACGGGGACGACGACCAGCGCCGGAGTTGGTTTCAGTGTTTTCTTGAAGGGAAATTTTCTAAACATGTTTGGAGAATTGCGGAGTACGCACATGTGGTGAATATTTGGGGCTCCTACGTGCTCTTGCGCCGTTTATGATGCGTGAGATTGCATTTGTAGCGCAGTAGATTTGTTCCCGTTGTTTTAAATACCTGCTAAATGATTTTGTGAGTTGTATTTGGTAGCGACAAGTGTGCAAGCTTGTGCGATGCCTTTGCTGAGAATATATATTTTGCTTGTGTCATAAGCTTTTGTTTTTTGACTCTGTCTCTGGGCCGCAGTTGACATTGTTAATGCACTAAAATAACCACCATTCAAATTGTGCGTGCCTTCGCGGTGCTTTTCGGTGGGTCAATACGTCAGCCCTTGGAATCTGCCTGGCGATTGCCTCCTCATGAACGGAATCAGTGACCCTTTTCATTTCAGGTGAGCCAGATGGGCAGCATTCATGAAAAATAGAGGCCTATACTCCATGAATGATCGGCCCTCTCAGGGCAAACTGTTGCCGTATGTGGTGAAATGGGTGCTCCTAATAATGATTCAGACTCGAACCTGTGATGTGCAGCTATGAAACGCATTATTTATGGCCTACTGTGCTGCATAGAAATGCGTGTGAAAGCGTTTCTCTTTGGAGAAGCAGTGGCATCAGAGAGGGTGCAAGGTGAACTAGGCCCGTCCCGCCGCACCTTGTTTTTTACCCAGCTGTCGTGGCATTGCACTAATAATCAGTAATGAACTATGCTGTGCCCTGGCCATTTCTCCCCTGTCCACTTTGAAACTTCGGTTTGTCGGTTTGTGTAACCGTGGGAGTGTGATTCGTCGCTACGCGACTAATGAAATGAAAAGTAAAACACGTGTTTACAGCAGAGCTTGTCTCTTCCACCTAAATGATAGACACACCCCTTCTTTTGCTTTCTCTGAGGAAGCTTCCTCAGAGAAGGCTAGTAAAAGTGACAGGCTTGGAGAGACGTGCTGAAGCCTTAACTTTCGTGCTGAAGCCTTAACTTTCGTGCGACTCCAGTATCAGCTGTGGGTCTGTGTGGCCGCTCCTCTTGGACCCCATGGTTGATGGCGGCTGGTCTAGATGTGGCTAGGTGAGTTGCCGCTTTTTCAAAGTGCATGGTGAGTTAATTGATAACGTAAGAAGTTAGGATGGTCAGCGTGAGCTTGCGTGTTATGCCAAGCCTCGCTCAAAACCAGCTGACACAAGCATTGCACACACATATGTAGTTAAATCTGAATATAGCACACTTCTGCATAACAAAATTCTAGATATGATGGAGTACTTCAGTTCTCAAACTTCATTGTCATAGAGCACCATGTATTCTGGACCACAGTTAGTAAACCTTGTTTATTCTAAGTAAAGCAGCAAATCACAATAATCTGGAATCGAAACTTAATGTCGTGCAACAAACGTAGATGTTTTAAACCCATTCAAATAAAATATAGTGTGTTGAGCATTCATGAGTGAAATCTCAGATTGAAATTGGTGCACTTGTGAAGGTTCAACATAGCATAACTTTCTTCAGATGGGTATAAAACATCCATTTTTGTTGCACTACACTAAGTTTTGATTTCTGATTATTGTGCTTTGCCTATTTACTTTCAACTCTGTCAGCTTCAAAAAAAAAAAAATCTGGCTTATCAAAAAGCCTATGAAATATGCTGTATTTTTAAAACTACTCATTATACTAAAAAAATAGCGCATATTTCTAATCGGTGCACAAATGTGCATCATCTCACCAAGTTTCATGCATATCAACCGAGAATTGCAAGAAAAATTTCAAGAGCAGCGCAGCAGCGTGTTTTCTGGCAGTGGCTTTGAGAGGAGGGCACTCTGAAGTAGTCATCTTGGCCTCGGAGTGGCGGTGAGCGAGAGCATACAGCTGACTTATGGCATGTGAAAACCCTGGCAACCTGGTGCATGATATTGGGCATTCTCTATAATCTCTGCGCACCGTGTAGTTACGCATCTTCACATGTGCATGCCGTGTGTCCATAGGTCGGTGAACTCACTTATGAGTCGACTCACTCAGATTGAGCCATGAGTCTGAGTTGAGAGAGTCCGGGTGAGTACCTTATATTTTTATGAGTAGGCATCCTAGTGAGTCCAGTGGAAGAAAAAAATTTTCTTGAGTCCGAGCCAGTGTGGGTCAGGAAAGTTTTGCCGAGTCTAAATCCAAAGTGCAATATATATTTGATGTGCGAGTCTGAGTGAGTAAGACTTATGTTGGCTGACATATGGTCCTATCGACTCATCTTCAGTGTTACTGTGAGCCTTACCTGGATTCATGTTTATACTTACGTCTATTTACAATTATTCCAAAGCAGTATTGTTCATACCCTATTTCAATATTTATTGATTAGAGATGCGAATTACTTAGGGGGTGCCTTGTACTCCCTGACCCTGCCAACTCTTTCAGAGAGGGTCTTAATAATTACTACACCTTATCTTGTCATCTTTTCGAAGAAAAATGGCCTTGCTGGCTTGCAACCACTCGTGACTCGTATTCAAAGGTACTATATGAAAGGCATCAAGAAAAGCACCGATTATGTAAACTATTGCTGTTAAAGAGCACTGACATCGTGATTCAAAAAGCTAATTCTAAACTTACGGACTTATGAGTCTACTCACTTAGACTCAGATCGAGCCGCGATTCTGAGTCTGAGTGAGCCCGAGTGAGTAATGTTTTGGTCAGCATGAGTCATTAAGTCCGGTTGAAGAAAATTATCATAAGGGTGAGTCTGGCACTGGAATATTTTGGTGACTCCGAGTCCGAATGAGTCTGAGTGAGCCCGAGTGAGTAATGTATTGGTCAGTATGAGTCTCAGTAAGTCCAGTTGAAGAAAATTTTCATAAGGGTGAGTCTGGCACTGGAATATTTTGGTGATTGATTGATTGATTTGTGGGGTTTAACGTCCCAAAACCACTATTTGATTATGAGAGACGCCGTAGTGGAGGGCTCCGGAAATTTTGACCACCTGGGGTTCTTTAACGTGCACCCAAATCTGAGTACACGGGCCTACAACATTTCCGCCTCCATCAAAAATGCAGCCGCCACAGCCGGGATTTGATCCCGCGACCGGCGGGTCAATATTTTGGTGACTCGAGTCTGAATGAGTCACAATTTTTGCCTATGCGTGTGTCAGCGTCAAATTTGGCAGTTTCATTTTTGCCACGTGCCGGTAGTGGCAAATGTAATGATCTCCTGCTTATGCAGCAAGCAATCATGATCAATCCGGAAACGGATGGCGCGTCAAGGCTAGAGCCTCGAAAGCGATCCTGATCGGCGAGGATGAGGACGTTGCTGCTTATTTGGGGCATTGCAAACCTTACTCACTGTGATCCTCAACACGAAATGAGTTACTTTTTGTCAGGCTGGACTCAGTGAAGAATAAGTTTCCAGTGAGAGCTATTGGAACTAAGAGGCTCATTTTTCGCATGTCAAAGTTTCATTCGTTTCCCACAGTAAGGGCACTGCTGCAACAAGTCTTAAGTAGCCAGCCAATACACTTTTTCGAGCCACTCACAGTTCATAAAACTCACAGTTTTATAAAGTATGTAGATGCTATGTGGTCAAGGTTACTTCCAAGATTTTCCTAGCAGTTCTAACGACAGTGAACTTGTTTTAAAAGGCCTCTCTCACTACGTACTAAAGGGCGTCCACAGTTTGCAGGTTCTGTCGCGGACGCGTGCTTCCCTGCAGCCACGTGAGCGGCTGGAGTTGAGTCGTCGTCTTCTGCAGCTGACGCTCTATGTAGTGCGATCCCCATTCTACGAGCGCATCTCCCAACGCCGAATATTCTTGGCCCTCCAAGCACTCGGTGACTCCGTGCCCCTCCTTGGCTGGATCACCAGTGAGTCAATCCGCTCACAACCACTCTTCCATTGTATAGTGATGACCATAGTACTAGTTATCGGCCATTGGTAATAATGATCATAGTGTTATTGATGCCACCTAACTGTTAGTGCTTCCCCAAAATGTGTGCCTGGAAACATAGAATGCTGGTCTTGGAGCAGCAGACTGCGTAGTTCAGAGCAGTTTCAATGAATAATAACCTTTCTTAACCATTTAATATCAGAACTTTGTTGAAAAAATACTTTGAAACTTTATTCAGGCCTTGCAACCTTTTTTTTTCTGCTGAGCTTATTCAGTATTGTTGAAACATCTGGCCACAAGAATTGCACAGGCAGTATTTCCAGCCAGTGCTATGCAGCTTGATCTAAAAGGGGGACCTGGCAGGCAGATGTGGTCAAGTGTCATTTTGTGCTCTGTTTGCCTTGGGAAAAAAAAAAAAAAATTGGGGGAAGAGAGAAGGGGGAGGGCACAGGCCCTGTCTGCTACCCCGCAACTGCGCCACTGCCGCTACGCTGCCTCTCTTGAATTACTCTAAAGCAGCACACATTGAAGTTTGCGTCAAGCCCTCACCCCAGCTGTGGTCCTAAGTGTCGTGTATATTTTGTGTGGATTACAAGCAGAGAGACACGGCATGTGCATTTTTCTGTCCTCATCTGTGTATGCTCGCGTAGTTGCTACAAGTCGTCGCACCGACAGATCCACATCTCAAAACTGCGTGCAATACAACTGCGTTTTGTGCCATGTGCAGGGCCACTGGCTGACTACATTCCGGAGTGGCAGAACACCTACTGCCACAATTGGGCCTCCTAGGGCACTACCCTTGGACATGCCTGACCTAACAAGATAAGCAGCCTTGCCCAACAAGGCAGCCACTTACACTACTGTATATCGTTCTGTGAACGGAACTATTGTAGGCTCACTGCAAGTGTAGCCCCACGTTCTATCTGGTTTGCCTTCACGGAGCCACACGCTACAGCTTGGTGACATGGTGAAGGAACAGCCATTACCAGGGATGTTTCATTTGTGCTCGAGATGACACAGCAGTTATGTACTCCGCCGTTGCTGTCATGCTGCTCTTGATAAAGGTGCAACTCTTCACATCATCGTGGGATATGAAGATAACAAGTATTAGATAGCAATGTATTTGAGCGACATTTATGAAGATAACAAGTATTAGATAGCAATGTATTTGAGTGACTTAGCTGCACAAGACGTCGTAATTTACGCCATTGCGCGTGGTGCCGAATGTAATTGTGCCAGACGATTTGTTTTTGATGCATTCAATATGATGTTCAGTGATGGTCCTTCATGCTGCTAATTTTATTCGAATTCTTTTCACGTCCATGGGTTGATTGCAGATAGGCAGCACAACAATGCCAGCATGGTGCGTGCAGGACTGTGCGAAATATGACGATGAGAGTGGTAACACTATGGTGCCATCTCTATAGTGGTGCCAGCTTAGTTGTATCGCCTGGTTAGTGATGTCAGTATGGTGTAGCATATGTTTTCTGAGCTCTTTGACTGCTGGTGTGCGCATAGATTTTTCATTCAAACGATTGTCGTTCTCTCTGCCAGCCTTTTTGACTGCAGGGCCAGCCACCAGCTGCTCCTATTAAACAACTTCCACAAACCAGTTGTTTCGCATCGTGAACTTGGGCTGTGAACTAGTAAGAATCCTGTATGAGAAGCATATTTGACTTGCGCTTTTATGGGCAAGTTTGAGGTCTGTGTTTTGTCCTGGTCTGGTAATTTTTCTGTATAAAGTGTGAAAAAGCTTTAGCAATTCTTTATGCAATGGCACAAGCTCTTCTATGCAGAAGAGTCTCACTTGTTCTATGCTGGAAGGTTAATTCTCCAAAAGAACATTTTGTGTGAATTTATTTCGGCATACAATGCAATTCGCGTTTTTTTTCGTGTCTGTGTTCTGTCTGCAAATTTAGGCACAAAGTGCTGTTGCTTTCATGTTTTTATTGACTTTAATAATACATTTTGGTGGGACCAATGAAGTTGGTCAAATTTGCTTGCAGTTAAAGTGAAGAAAAGGTAGGCAAAAAGGATTTCGTTGGCAGTGTATTGCCCATATGTAATATGTTCCCGATTCAATTTCATACTCTTGTTATACAAGTTTAGAAGTATGAAGCTGATGAGAAATTGAATTACGTTAAAGCTCCTCAGCAGAGTTAAAATAGAATGCCCTCCCCAATATCGCAAAATGAAATGCGACCCTCTGGCAAAAAAAAAAAAAGAAGTGAAATTGGCAGACTTTACCTTAGTGAAACAGAAATTCGTCGCTTAAGTACTGCTGTCAGTCGGCACACCATTGCTGTCTATGGACAATCACAACATGTCAGTCATACATTCCTGACATATTTAATATTCAACATTCGTTGAACAGTTGCAAAACTGAGCATAGGCTTATACATTGACTAACTATTCTGTTGAAGCTCATTCTGTGATGCACGTGATGCTCAGAAAAGCCAGTGATGTATGATATAACTTGTGAAATAACTTATTTGCGAATACACTAGCCATTTGCATGAAAAGAGCACCACATGGTCATTGCCATGCCATGCTCATCTTCATGCCATCAGTGGTCATCATGTGACACAATGGCAGTGTCATTGACATTGCATGGCCAGACTGTATCTGATAGTAGGACGGTACAAACTCATTTTTTTAATGCAAAGCAGCTCTTTGACTAGCCCGTGTAACGCTGTTTCTCCGTCTGCACTGCGCTCCCCAGGCTGCAGGTGTTGTGGCGGTGCCAAGTAGGTCGCGCCTTTCCTCGCAGTGCGCGGGCGTTGACGTCACTCTCTCCTTGGCCTATCGCCGCTCGCTGTGTGTCATCACTCTCGCTTCACCCTCTCCACCGCTTGCAACGTTCGAGGACACATCGAGTAGAAACACTCTTTTGGCTCGATTACCTACCATAAAACACGAAACCCAACCCGCCTCTCGTGCCTTTGCGTTTCAAAGAAATGTTTACTCGAAAAAAGGTTACACCGAGTCTCGCTTTAAACCGTTCTTCCAGCTCCTGCGTCCACGTTCATTTCAACCGGGTCAGCGACGTGCGCACTGCTGCTGCTTCGCATCCCCTTATGGTTCTCTTCTGGGAGATGGCCCATACATTTTGCATATCTCATTTCACTGTGCCAGGCATTTCGAGACAAAGATGATCGTACATTACCATAAAATTGCTTTAAATAATGCAAATCTGCTATACTTGTCATTTTGTTGCTTCTGGATTTCTTGCTTGGTCATCTTGAATTTGCTTTGTAGGTTGTCATTTTTGAGACCCCTATAATTTTTATCTATGTGAGTTCATAATGGGCCCAATGCGATGTATGCTTCAAGAATGAGTGTATAGATGTTTTACTAAATAAACTGGCAAATAAAAAAGTTTGTCACTTTATTACGCAGTGCAGTGAATGGCTCGTTCAATGCCCGAGCTTGTGTAAAACTACAGTGATTGTTGTCAAAATTATGTGTTCAATTCCTACTTGTTTTTCTTTATTCAGAAGCAATGCAGGCTTGCCTGCTGTTTCATAGAAACAATTCATCACACTGCATTGCTGACCACTTTGTCCACACTAACTACTAGCAGACGTCCAAAGTAGGGTTAGTGAAATGCTGTACAAAAAAAAAATATATTACTGAAAAAAAAAACATAAGGAATTGTGCATTTGAGTCAGGTGCACACAAGGTTACCATCTGCTTTATAGTCGTTGATAACTACATTTAAAAGCAGGACTTTGACATAGATTTGCTTGCAAGCCAACGTCGACAAAGTCATCGCTCGCTTGCATTCACCACATTGAAGGCTGTGAAGGTGGCCTTTACAGGTTTTGCTTTGAAATTTGAACCAGTGCTCCTGTCACTGGTGGCGAACACTTGGTGACGTTCCGTGCTGCTAGAATCTTCTCCATTTTCGACAAGCATGGCTCAACCATTTGAGATAATGTCTCCCGACGAGCATTTTGAACGAGATTCTCTTTTTTCCAGGTCATTTCCCGTGTTGCTTCACAGATGATTGTACTTGCTTGGCAACTACTTTTATTGTAACCACCATTTCACATTTTTTCACCACTCGTGTTGAGAAAATGGTGTCCAGTGATGGAGATGTGTGCATTGTTCGTGTGTCCTCGTAGAAAAGAAGCCTTTCATCATCGTACATCCCTCCAGGTGCTAATTATTCCGATACCGAAGTTTACTTTGATGACTGACTTTACTTAACAACATTGGTTCTTTCTTCTTGAAAACATCTTGCACTGTATTCAGCATTACACATTTATGACATCTTTGGGACATTGTTATGTAAAATGTCTTGTTCATGGGTTCAATTGCCTCCATATCACCTATCACACAAGTGGTGAACATAACACAAATGTAGGTATGGCACCAAGTCAGTGATGAGGCAGCAAGGACACGAAATACATACGTTGAAGTTCAGTTTTGCAATAAATTTCTATTCAATAAGATGACTTCAAAAAAAAAAGGACTGTCTCCATGGCGCAATTGGCTAGCGCGATCGGCTGTTAACTTCAAAAAAAAAATTACGACATGGAATGTATTATAGTGTACCATCAAGTGTACTAGAAAACATGACAACGAAGAATGGAAGATTTATAGACCTATCGGATTACATTGATAACAGTATAGAACACTCTCTCAAGTAATTGATAGTCTTTCAAGCCAAGTGTGTTAATTAATGAAGGCACATTGCTTTAGTCCATAGGCCAAGTTCAAAGAGCAATTTTCAGTAATGGAGGGCATTTGTGTCATTTTTCAGGTGAATCTTTAATGTCATTCATAACAAGTTGTTTCGTTTATTTTTCCATAATTTTCTTAAAAGGTGTTTTAATTTGGTAGAATTTGCCTGTAGCTCAAGGCCTGCCCATTACTTAATCCAGGAGTACACGAGGCAATAGTTAACTTTGCGGCACTGCCTATTCACTTGAAGTTTTATTTCTTTTCTGTTTGTACATTGGAAAGTTGAAAAGCGGAAAGTTGCACATTGTACAATGTACAACTTGTACATTGGAAAGTGGAAAGTAGAAAAAATTGCACAGCAAATCAGAGATAGCGTTAAACACAAATAAAGATGGATGTCAGACTCTGCCCAGGTGGTGCTGCGAGAAACGCCGCCACCAGCGCCTCCAATGCCATGCCGGCCCTAAATGGGTAGTGCAAAGATAACTGTCCGCAAATTAACGTGCATAGGCCCTTATGTTTTGTCGGTCTTGAGGCGTGGTTTCTTGAAAATTAAATACCTGGCAAGCTTCTTCCGTCAATCCAACTTCGCCTCAAAAAAGTAGGAAGCTCATAAAAGCGAACCTGCGAGTACAACGCGAAAGATCTTTCAGTTATTTCGGAGTGCTGCAAGTGCTAGCGAGCATCGCATGACATCGTGTTTGAGGCAAGCACTCCGACGTGCATTCTTGAACGCCTAAATGCTGTTCAACTTGGGCATACACATGATCTTAAGGGGGGACGCGGGTCTTAGAATAGTGAAAAATGGCCAAAAAGTCGATTTTGAGAAAATGAGATATTTGAAATTTTTAGACCTGTAAGCACGTGTCCTAAAATTGTGAGCGCTGAATTCAATCAGTAAATGGAATAAAATTGATTATGAAGTCGCCACGGGAGCCGCAAAGCAACCCATGGCTGGTCAAATTCGTTCAAACTTCCCGCGCGCGCGCCGCCAGCGAGGCAGTTGGCCGATCGCTGCCATCTTGGGCTTGTTTTGAAGCTGATTCCTTTGTGCGCATTTTGCCACCCTTCAAAATGGTGTCGCTTAAACAGAACGGCTGCCCTCGCCCCTTTTCCGGAGCCCCCTTCCAAGCCGTTGATTGGCCGGAGCACGCACGCACCAGGCGAGCCCCCTGTTCCTTGCTTCCCATTGGCTGATGCGGCCAAAGTTGCCCACGCTTTTTCCTGTATATTGTTCGTCGGCCGCCGGTTCCCGTTCGCACATGTTGTTTGTTCGCTTCCCGCACGTGCCTGCTTGTGCTACGCGACCGACGCACCGACTTTCCGTCTTTTGCCGGCATGATTGGAGACGCTCGTCTAAAGAAGAAGACGCGACAAGCGTACGGCGAGAAACGGAGGCGCTCATGGAACGCCCGCCAGAAGAAAGCAGCCGACAACGTGCAGCTGATTTCGCCCAATGCCTCCGAAGCGGCGCATTCCGACGACGGCGCGCAGCCGCGGCCGCTTGTGTCTGAAGTGGTGCACTCTCCTGTGCCTTGCAGCAGCACCTCATTGGATTGTGTCGTCGTCGGATCGTCATATTGCACTTCCAGCAACATCCTAGACCGCGTTGACACGGCGCTTTATTCGGCGGATGAGTTTGCTGAGTGGGAGAAATGCAGCTGGGCTTGAAGGCATCACTCGCATTGCAGTGCACGACGGAACGTAAGTTCGAGTTACTAGATATTGATCTGGAGGATGGTGGCAAAGAAAACGGAACAGAATTTGTTATTGTTGATCTGGCGGCGATACGCTCGTTATTTGGACTTGTCGCGTGCCCAGAATGTGGTGAAAGAAGCGTCACTATTTCAAAGGCCAAGGAAGAGTACTGGGCTGTGTTCGAAGCTCATAGTCACGTGCGGCAGTTGTGACTTTCGCGAAGAGTGTTTTTCGTCCCCAGGTGTAGCCGACGAGACCGATGCCAAAATAAGGCCGTTCGAAGTTAATATGCGTGCCATGAAGGCCATCAACAGTATCGGCAAAGGGGCAACGGCTCTGTCAGGACTTCTCCGCCGGGATGAATATTTCGCATCGAGGGCTTCACCACAAGAGTTACCAAAGCCACATGAATATAATGAAAGAAGCCTGCTTTGCGACTGCTGCCGAATGCGAAGCGGCGAGCAAGGAGCTCTATGCGGAGTTCGGCAACGCGCCCGGAAAGGTCGACGTCATTTATGACGGCACCTGGCTTACGCGTGGACATAGCTCGCATATATGTGTTGGCTGCATTGTTGAGATGTATAGTGGCCTCGCGATAGACCATATCGTGCTATCGAACTTCTGCCTGGCTTGCACCACAGGACCCAAGGAAGGAGAAGCAGGACATTCTACCTGGCTCATTCAGCATGCCCCTCTGTGCCAGAAGAATAATGATTGTAATGCTGGCCAGATGGAAGTGGAAGCAGCACTACGCTTGTTTGAGCGGCCCCTTGAAAAGCACAAGCTTTGTTATACGACAATGCTGCCGGACGGCAACAGCAGGACATTCCATGCACTCACAGAAAAAGAGGTGTACGGCTTCATAAAAGTGGCCAAAAAGGACTGCATAAATCATGTACACAAGCGTATGGGAGCTGCCTTACGTACCCTTGTAGAGAAAAAAAAAAGCTCAAGGTGGCTCACTTGGTGGAAAGGGCAGACTTACGCAACAAAAGATAAAGAAGATCACCTCATACTATGGCTACGCATTGAGAAGCCACAGGAACGATGTTCCAGGTATGCAGAAGGCTGTTCTAGCAACTTTGAAGCACATGTCTTCAACTGACGAGGCACCAAAGCATGACCTTTGCCCTGAAGGCCCTGAATTCTGGTGCAAATTTCAGAGAGCTCTTGCGAAAAATGAGAAGCCGCCACCACACAAGGACAGCCTTCCTGATTTCGTAACTGAGGACAATGGAGCCTGTGTTTAGGCGGCTGAGCGACAATGCCCTCTTGGAAAGGTGCAGCAATGGGATCACCCAGAACCCAAGTGAGAGCCTGCACGCTATGATTTGGCAGCAGGCCCCCAAAACTCTGCATGCATCCTTGCGGAGCATTGAAAGGGCAGTTGCCGAAGCCATCAGCCGCTTCAACCAAGGCACAACAAAGAGCAACGTGGAAATTGCCGAGAAGCTGGGCTACAGCGCTGGCAATAACTTGGTGCGTCGTAGCCTTGAGAAGGACAAGGGCAGGCTGCAAAAATCGCAAAGAGAGCATCTCGACAACAGTTCATTAAAGGAAAGACTTTCAAAGCATCACAAGCCAGCAGGGGACTCTGCTTACAGCCCTGGTCTGCTGTAAACAGTCATGATAGCAAATAGTGAGAATTTTCGCGAAAATAAATATTCTTGGTTTTAGACCTCATTATTACATGATTTTTATGTGTTCCTTTCACTTGCAAGGAACTGGAACGACCACAAAGTAAAATAATAATTCTCATGCTGAGTCAATGACTATTTTATAGTTCTAGAACAAGCTGTGAGCAGTATTCTGGGTGGGTACAGTGAAATTTAGCATGGCCATTTATCCTATAACATAGGGCTACAGAATGATGTCATTATTATCGCTGCAGCTTCACTTTAGCAAAACTTAAAGTTGCTAGAAACTTTAAACGCGTTCTTCTCAGTTCGATGTTTTTGCACATTGCACTCGGCCTTACAGGGGTTTTTCCTATGTTAAACTTGAGTGAATG